TTTGATGCCTTCCCTTTTTCCTCACCATCATTTTGTTTTTATTCGAGATTTGATTATACTGGTCTAATATAAATAGCCATCATCAACGATTCCTATATATTAGCTAACCATGTGTGTATTTACAGTGTATTTTATATATATTAAATATATAAAATATATAATAAAAATTGTCTTAAATCTGGAATTCATTCAGTCAGATACCTTTTCGCATATTCTAATTGTAACATTGTTCGTATGTTCATTCAGTTTGTTTTAATGTAATATGAAATAAAGATATAGTCCAATACACATAATATTGAGTGTTACACTTTAGACAGTTTAAGTGTTATACACATGTATGAATGATAAGAATACGGGAAAAAAAAAGTTATATATTTGCGGCAGATATATATATATATATATATATATATATTATATTCATACATACACATATATGCATATTATACGTAGACAGAGATACAATCTTGCAAGCCACAGTATGCTTCCCGGTTGAAGGAAGTACTGATCAGCTAGATAGGATAAAATCGCCATCTTCTGACGGCTGAGCCAATTGATATATATTTTAGCACTTTTGTTAATTCTCCACAGTTTAATTTCATAAAGTCTCGTGAGTATAAATAATTCTGTGAAGACCTATTCTCAAATGTTTGATGTTTGACCCTTTGTGGTCAAACCGCCGTTCAACTCAACAATACTTTCCAAGCTCCTAGCTAGGTTTAATTTCCAAACAATATTATTCTTCCAAACTTGATCATTTCTTCTCTAAGAAGTGTGATCAAACAAAACATTATAACGTAATTATTTTTGTTCCACAACGAGTACGCCATATTTTCACACTCCTATCCGATCAGTTTCAGAAGCTTCCTTATTGCGAAGAAACATTAAGCGACGGCGGCGGAGTTTTGTTGCAGTATTACCAATTTCAGGATAATATCTACAGTCATCATGATCATCTTCCAACAACCACATCAGCAATATTATTAGGAGATGATCGAGTGGCGGGGAGATCATCCGAATATTGGCATGCAACTGGGGAGCTACTGACAGAAATGTTCTCGGAGCTTTGCGAGAAATTTTCGAAAATAATACAAAAATTAGGTTTGAGGAATTCCGAAAGAGTAGACATGAATTGTACTGTTCCAACAACCAGGACAAGGGGTTTGAATGTTGGTTGGAGTTGGTCCTCAACAGTACTACATCTCGATCATGGCCATGTTCGACAAGATCATCAAGATGATCATGGAATTATGAAGCTTGAATGCTTTAAAGTACGAACTCTAAATGTATTAGTTGATCAAGGGAATGTCAAGGAGACACAAAAGTGATCCACATTGAGGATTAAAAAAAAAAAAAGAATCTCCATATATAATTGTAGAGCGAAAGAAATATTATTTTTGATAATTCTTTAATTCTTTCATAAAAAAAAGTATACTTTTTCTTATGCTTTTGTTTCAGAAATTGATATTTATCTCATTGGTGACATATATATATATATATATATATATATGCAATCACTACATATACTCCCATCCATGCATCAAAGAGAAAAACTAACCCACCCACCCTATTTTTTAAGTTTTATTTGTCAAATGATCATAAAATAGTTGTTGGACACCAATAAAACTTAAACAATTGGGTAGTTCATTTAGCCCAAACCGGACTTATACATTATCTAGTTTCAACATGTTCCCGAATTTTATATATATTAATTATCATTTTTTTTTTCAGTACCAATGCTAAATGCTTTGCCCCTTATTGATCAGTAGCAAATAAATATTTTGTCAAACATGTCGTATCACGTCGTAGTGTGCTTCAATTATATATAGAACTATACTAATGAATGGTAACTAACTAAAGAAAAATTGAGAACCGTTCTAATTGAACTCTTTAATTAATGTCTCAGGGAAATGTGATGACTAGCGAACGTGTGTTTTTTTTTTTTTTTTTTTTTTTTTTTTCCATTATTACTGCAGCTGGTGTACTTATTCTGTGCCCCATACTGATGGAGACATTGGGCCGATGATTTTGTACAATGGGCCAACGTCATTTTTATATAATGGGCCGATGATTTGATAGACATGTCGTTACTCTGTTCTAAGCCAGGTCCCAACTGAGACAAAACAAATCCCTGAATTTTAGATGGTTATATATAGCCACTACAATCTACAAGAAATAGGATGCCTAGTCCATTTGTTGGTATGAAAGCGAAAAGCATAAATATATGTTAAGCACAGTCAAGAAAGGTTATAATTAGTCTTTGTTGGTGCTTAAATCAGTGCTTAATGCACAATTATCACCTTCCTTGACTTTCTCCATTAATGGAGTTTTGCCCGCTCTCCATCACATAAACAAATATGGAAGTACTTTATACATGACTCGCTACTAACACTCCTTTTCTTATATGAAGATTTCTATGATAGGATATGAAAAAATTAAACTACCTCTAGGTTTTAAATAGTTTTTAGCCGTGTGTATCAGAAATTCTTAATTTTACATATTTTTTTTATTTTGATGTGTTTTGACCAGATTCAATAATTAGAATGTTTATAACCGATAGAAGGCCCTACTTTATAAAGACCCTTCTAATCTCTCTTACACCATCATTATATGAAAATATAAATAGTACTATTGTTGTTCTAAAGAAGGGTAAAGTACTATATGTTTTTTATCCAATCAAATAATATCATGTAAGTATACAAGTCTATGAGTGCCCATTGTTTCAATTTCCCACATACCTTAACGACTATACCTTCATGTATGTGACAAATCAAAGATATATAGGAAATTAGGAATCAATGATTTGCAGCATTATATTTCCTCAAGCTTCAAGCCTCAAGTTAGCAGCTGAATGCTCACTGTTGAAATACGTGGTTTTAATGCTTATTTTAATATTTACTTATTAATGGGTATTATTATTTTAACAATAAGATGTTGATCCGACAGTAATAAATTAAATAATTGATTAAAAAAATTAATAACAATTAATGAGATTGGATTCTTATTTTGTCACGTAATCAAATTTATATATTTAATAGGTAACTACCATGGAAATGTAAACATTAAAAACTCATACGTACATATATACAAACACAAGAAGCGCCAGCGTCACTATTTCTGTCATTTTCTTTATTACTTTCTGCATTCACTATTAGATACATGAAATCTACTAACATAATATATTATTATTTAAATAAAAAATAAAATAATAAAATTAACACATCAAATAATAAATATAAAAAATATTAAAAAAATATTAAAAAAAAATGACGCTAACATTTCTTATACAAACATCGTACAAACACGCTACACAATATATTTACCAACTTCCGTACGTATGCCACGTGGGCTTTTTGATGCACGAGCATTGCATGACATGTGGGGCCCCAAGCTAAAAGGAAGGTGAAGAGTCAGCATCCATATTTGACATTCCATAGTATTTTATCCCGCTCTTGAGGGGTATTTTACTGCTTCTAGTTGAAAATAACACGTCAACAAAGGCTAAGGTGGGCCATAACTTCATCCCGACAATAACCCATTTTAATAACCAGAAACTAATATTAAATTACTCAGAAGGCATAGTTCAAATTCCAAAATATATTTATATATATATATATATAGTATAACCTACTACACTAATGTCTTCATTATTACGTTGACTAGAGGCCCCAACTTGCTTGTCCGTTTTTTTCTTTTTTTGGATTTGACTCTTGTCTCTTCTTCTCATGTCCCATTGTCTACTTTTTTCTCATATTATGTCTAATTAACATAATGATATATTAATTAAAATGTCATATAAAATGTCATTATTGTTTGTGGGACATGAATGGAAAATGGAGAAGGGGGACAGCGGATCCTTTTTTTTTTTTCCCTTTACCAAACCAAGGCGTTATTTGCTTTGATGAAAACCAAAACGCAAACTGAACCGTGATAAGTTGAACACAACAATATGAGCAATTCTAGATTCGTACGTCTTCTTGGTTTCCATTTTATCCTCTCTGTCTATAAGAATCCAGTATTGTACTTCGAAGCCAACATACGGTGAAGAACGATGTATATAATATGTACATACATACATATACATATACATATACATAATTAATTTGATCATGATTGCTTGCATGGCCTTTTGCTTTCATGATCATCTGTGATTCAGATTTCAGATCACGTGCTCGTTCGTCTACCTTCTACGTACGTAGGGTTTGCCCTAAAGTTTTATGCAAAATAGAATGTAAACCTTAAAGTTTCTGTAGAAGCTGCTTTCTTTCTCTGAGCCGTACGTACTTTTAAGTTATGATAAAACTTCAACAACAGATAAGTGTTCATGGCCAGTACCACTTAAAATTATTCGATGAAAGATCAATATTAAGTTGAGACTTTGATTTTACAAGGCATATACGTACATATATATATATATATATATATAATTCTGTCGTCTTTTCATAAAAACGAACCCGACTAATTAGGAGGTTCAATACCCCTTGTGAAATGAATAATATTCGCGAGTTTTTGTCACTATCGCAACATTGTTGGAGCACTGGAGAAGCATATATAAAAGGGCAGGATATGATTAAAAAAAAAGAAAAAACAAAAAAAAAAAACGGCGTTTTAGCTAAACAAACTGTACATATGATCATTAAAAGCAAAAGAAACAAAACCCCAAAAAAGGGTAAAAAGAGCAACCGACGGACAAATATAACCAGAAACAAAAAAAAAAAAAAAAAAAAAAAAAAAAAAAAAAAAAAAAAAAAAAAACAAAAGAAAAAAAAAACAAAAACAAAAACAAAAAACAAAGAAACAAGGGAACAACACACTCATACTACCTCTCGCACATATTATGTGGTCATATCTTACATTCTACGTTTTCGTGATACTCCCTTAATTTCATTACGCATTAAGGGTTTTACGGTTATTTCATTCTTTTTATTACTTTTTACCATTTCTACTTATAGTACCATAGATATATTATATAGGCACATATATATATATATATATGAAAGTAATTAGTGAAATTTCCAAAGGTTTTCATCGGCAGCATTTTCAACGTGATAATCAGCATCATCACCAGCAATGTCCAAGCGTGGAGGGCTAAGAAGCATTCCTTCAGCCATATTCACCAACACATTAGGCATATCAAATATCAGATCCTCATCAACATACTCATTCGCAACATTCATCTCCGTCTCTAGCACAATATTCTCTCCCTCATGCTGACTATAATTCCCTCCGAAATTCACCGGAGACGCCTCCTTGGCGCCCCTGGCCCCCATGGCCGCCGCAGCCGCCCCAATTGCCCCGGCAGCAGAGGCCGCAGCAGCCTGGATGTCCCGCGGCGAGGTGGAGGCCGGCACGGGCAAGGAGCCGGCCGAGTTCGGGAAATTGAGCTCGGCGTCCTGGCCCTTGAGGGCCAGCGCCGCCACGTCATAGGCGACCGCCGCCATCTCGGGGGTCGGGAATGTGCCTAGCCAGATCCTGTTAGGCTTGCGTGGCTCCCGAATCTCCGACACCCACTTCCCGCTGCTCCGGCGCCTCACCCCCCGGTAGCTCCGGCGGGCCTCCCCGTCCGAAGAAGAGTTACCCGCATTGCCGCTAACTCGGATTCCGCTAGTGCTTGAGCTAGGGTTTGGGGACGAGTAATGCATGGTTTAGAATTAGTATTACAAGTACAAGTAGTTATTGTATTTTGAGTAAGTAGGGTTTTCGTCTTGTTGTAGTAGTAGTAGTGATGATTGGATTGTAGCTGGAGAGTAGTGAGAGAAGCCATTTATGGGGAATGGATTTATCAAGGGATGATCAAGAAGACGGATTTGGAAATCTACAAGAGGAAATTAGAGAGAACAATTACAATCAATTCAATAACAGCAGAGCAAAGTGTTTGATTAAGTGCAAACCAGCTGTTGATGAAGTCTTGAGTTTGCGGCTCAACTGCGCTGTTGTAGAGCGTCGGGGTGTAGGCCAGCTTTTGTGTTGGACATCTGGGTTGGACTGCGTTTTTGCGGCAAAAGAATATAGAGAGAGAAATGGGCCAAAAAAAAAAAAATCTATGTATTATATATATATATATATATATATATTTATGTTGTTTATAACGTCAAGGGAGATGATGTTTGTATATTGGACACTAATATGCCTTATCTCTATTGGTGGCTGCGTATCTTCTAACAAAGATTTGATCGTAATAATGAGTGTCGAATAATCGTCATTATAATTCTTTTTTTTTTTTTTTTTCCTTTTCATTTATATATCCAATTAGCTGATGATATAAGTGATCACATCCAAGGGCGCTACTAGGAATTGAAGTTAGTTTTGTCTATCTTTTAATGGTGTGGGGTGTTTTGTATCGCATATATATATATATATATATATATATACACACACACACATACATATGCATATATAGTCTTTGATATATATAATTTTCCTGCGTCTCTAGTCTCTACAACTTGTGACCATCTATTCGCGTTGCAATCGAACAGAAACATTGTCCATAGTATTGAAACTTTCTGCCCACACGGCCTATTTGTCGCCTCTATATGTGTACATCATCTTATAATGGCTTTACTAACGCGGCTTATATGTGATATCTATCAGTTGTCATAAGTTACTAATTAAAACCCTTGGAGACAAATAGAATACATGGGACATATTTTAGGTACCCATCTTGATCAGTTGAATAGTACTTGAACTGTTTAGTGTCAATGCAATTAGAGAAACTGAGGTAGAAGAAAGAATACATACACACACACACACACACACACACATATATATATATGTACATGTATATGTATATATTCTTTATAAAGCTCATCATGAATCACATATAGCATTTTTAAAGGTGATTAAAAATTGTTACTATTAGTCCCTGAACCTTAGGCATAGTGAGAGTTTGGTACATGATTTTTTAATATTGGCGTATTATGACTATTATGAATTTAGATATCACTTATTCAATTTTTAATGTCTAATTATAATAGTGTCCAACTAATTACATTTGAAATGTCGTTTATTAATGGACTCAAATATTAAAATATGAAAAAGTTAGATAAAAAAGGACACTATTTTAAACATCAAAATTAGATAAATGATATGAGTATGATATTTAAATCGAATAAATCTATGCTAAGGTAAAATTTGAAATGGATTAAGTTGCAATTTTGATTTGTTCATTTATAATTAGGATAGACGTAAGTGTAGATATTCTCGTCAAAGATATTTTGATAGGACTCACCGGGAGATTTTATCAATTAGTGGCTTCATGCGCATGACTCGTTTACAAGCAATTAAGTTGTTACATAAAATATACTTTTAGGATCTAAAATTATAAAATGAATTCGGATTGTCATATGTGTGTGTGTGTATATATATATATATATATATATATATATCACAAACACGCAGATGTGTGTGTGTCTGTGAATATATACACGTACGTATAAGGATGAACTAATATTTTTGAAAAATTTAATAAAGGATTATAATTCTAGGGACGTACCTAGCTAATTGATTTTATATGGCATGTTGAAATGTGCATTATACAAAAGTCTCTCTGTTATACTCACAATCATATATGTAAACACACATATACATTTATACACACAACACACACACTAGTCTGCAACCTTTTGTTTGTGTTTTTTCTTGTTTTATTTATTTATTTATTTATTTATTTATTTATTTATTTTCGTATTTCAAAGGCTACAACATTTCACGTCTTCGTTACCATAATTATTAACTAGAAAACGATGTTGGACAAAGATGATAGAGGTTGAATGATGAATTGAATATAAACCACGATAAACCTGAAAATTAGGATGTTTCGTACACTTGATTAGAAAAGTAGCATAGCTACATTTTTAGACTTTCTTGTTATAGTTAAAGTGCAATTTAACCTTTGCCAAAAAAAAATTTATTTTAATTATTGTATTGGCCAGGTTAGTATATATTCTTTAGGTTTTTTTTTTTTTTTTGTAAAAAGATAAAAGTAAAAACATTTTGACAATATATATTTTTTGTACAAATTAAAGCCAACCTCACACGTATCTACATCACGTTTGATCTTCATCCTACTAATTTTATTTTTTTTTTAATATTGCTCAATATGAAGTATATAGTAAATGTAAAGGGTAAAATTAATAAATTCGAGTCTCATATTGTTTAAATATAAAAATATCACAAATTTATAAGAATTGTGACACCCCAATTCTTATTGTGATATCAGAACTCAACAAGATTAAATCAACTATTTTTAATATTAAAACTGTTTATATGACGGTTATATATATATATATATATGTGATTCTTAGCACCATAAATCTTAAAATTTGTGGCTCGAGGTCCAAGAATGAATGGCGTGTGGAATATTTAAGCACATCATTTACAAAAACTTGGAGGTAAAAGAAAGTCATCATCCTCTACCTACCATCTAAACTATCCTCGAAGCATGTAATTAATTCATCATGTCTAGGCTGTAGTAGTACTGCTATTAGATGAAGTGCATGAATTTGGTATCATCATTTTCTTGACCAACCTTTGGGGGCTTTCTCACCAACTTGCACTACTCCAAACTTCCATGTCCCAACTATTGCATTGCTGAATAAGTACTACATGCTTAAGAAATTAAAATTAATTATAATATCTTGAGAACTTGGACTGCTTCTCTGTCCTTTCTAATTCAGGCAATGTGGGCGCAAGAAAATATTCCTCTAGGGCTTCTTTAAATATATTCTAATTAACGCTTATAGAAACTGCCTGGCTTGGACCAACTTTTTTTTGTTACCGCTTTGCATTTCTTTATTAATATTTATTCATGCCAACTAAAATATGAACCTTCATGAAATAAAAGTGATGTCCAAAGCTATGACGTACGATTCTCATCTTTTAATTGGTTGGCTAAAGCAAATGTAATACTGTATTTTAATAGTCTTAAGGGATTGCCACTCTAATCACTAAGAAGGAATATGGATTTGAAACCGCTCGAAATAAAGAGAGAGAGTGGCAAACCCTAGTTATATATTTAAAAAATACTAATAGTATAAACTGGGGAAATGATTTCCAGCCATATTGTAGAACGTAGATCATGTTAGCAATGTCAAGTTTCACCACTTCATATAAGAATTGATATTGTACTTTAATAGAGTTATTTAGATTCACATCAACATGAAACCTTTATTTTGATACATTGTTGTGATCAAGGGATGAAGGGTGATTCTCTAATCATGCCCAATATTCCTCACTACAATATAAATATATATATATATATATATATATATACAAAGATTGAACATTACGAGAAAAAACCATTATTGTAAATAAATCTCCTTTTCATGATTTGGCATGAGAAGTACTATTGTATCATGGAAATTTCGAACGACCATTTCCTTAAAATGGTCGTTAAAATAAGCTAAAGTGTTCATTTAATGTGCATAAATAAATGTTGACATTATATTGACCATGAAAACCAATGTTTAATGTTTACTAACTGTTCCATTAAAGGAACAGAGATTTGGGATTGAATATTCGAACAGAAATATGTAGTACTTCATCTCTCAACCACTATATGTTTAGTAACTCTTCCAATTAGTACTGATGCCCAGATGCAATAGTTCTTTCTACTTGCCTTACGCGGAAAAATTGGGGAAAAAAAAAAAATCCCTCCCGATTATGTGGCAAGGCCATATAATGATATCTTTGATCAATACAGTCACTGAAAATCACCTATCCAATTTTAGTGTTCAAAATAGTGTCTAACTATTCAAATCACGCCACATCATTTAGAAAATTTTAAAAATTTATAACACTCTTTAAATAATTTTTTCATGCTTCTTGTTAAACGATGTGGCAATATGTCATTGGTTGGACATCATTTTAAGACACTAAAATTGGATAGGTGATTTAAATTCTTTATAAAGAACCCACGTGAGTCCACGTGTTGATCGAATGACGGTGTAAAATAGTCGTTAAAAATGCAAATTACTTTTTTACAGTAGATTTAACAGCTGTTAAAATAGTTGTCTTTTCTCCATAGTGCCTGAACTCGCATCAGATCAATCTGTCTTTCTAAAGAAAATTAAAAAGGATTTTATGATTGTCCTTCCCACCACCACCAAAGTATGGAAGATAAGATTAAATAGCATTAAAAATGTAATATATATGATAAAGGTAGTAAAAGTAATCAAGTACTAACCTTGCTACTTGCTAATTAATATGAATTTTGCTAATTAAGTACTTATAACCTAGCTACTTGCTAATTAGAATGTATTTTTCTAATTAAGCGATATTGATACTATATAAGCGTGTTGGGCATGAGAGTCTGCAGGCCGCGTTAATTATAAAAATATCAAGTTGTGTGGAGGAAAGTGTGAAAAATAAAGTAAAATAAAATAGAGACAGCCTTACAATTTCCATGTAACTTTCAAACACGATTCGTTCAAACACGATTCTTTCTACGTCGGCCAAGATTATTTCCTAAGCAAATGACAGAAGATGTTGAAATATTGCAACGTATTTGAGTTATACTTATCTATGGTTTTCAAAAAGCATAGAGAACCATGGTTTAACTTTTTTATCTAGTACGGCGTTGACTGAGATACGGCTTAAATATTGAGAATAATTGTTGAAATTTGTCCTTAATTTTGAAGAAAGC